ATTTGATTTTAAAAGTACCGTTTGTGGTCAACTAATTAATAAAAAAAACCACTTTTTACAGTTCGAATTGCTCGAAATTGCTAAATCTAAAAACTCTTTTCTGCCAGGGTTTATGGTTGCAAACAGTAGCGGGTAACTAGAAATGAAAAAAAAGTCACATAAACAACAAATTAAAACTGTATTATCATGTTTTATATATATTCACATTCTGTAATACTACTCACTATCTAACTTTTATTTCTCACTAAAAATAGTTTTCTTGTCATAAGTTATTATATTTTTATTTCTTAATAACTTATATGATTTTTCATTATTAATAATGTTTAAAGTATAAATTTTAATATATATTACATGAATTTTTGTAAATTTTACTTTAACCACTGTCAAACCAGTTGAATTAACGGTCATTAAGCTTTCACAAATATACTTCTTTTCAATCGGTAAACCAATAATTTAATTAAAACGTTTAATAAAGTTTAAAACCACTTATCCATTAAATGTAATTAGTCGTCTACATTTGTACTTATCCATGACAATGAACTATTATTTAAAAATAATTGTTATATATCGTTGTTTCACGAGTGTCATTTTGATACATTTCACACAAATTGAAAAACATCACATTGTACACATATGCTAATAATTGTTTAATAGTTTAGTTAACTTTAAATTAAGAGTAAAATTAAGAAATTAAAGTAAAAAATACATTAAAAAAAATAACAGTTTGTATGAAACAAGAATAAAACTCTAGAATGACGCTATTTGTGAAACAGAATGAATATATTTCAAACTAAACTAGAGTTGACAAATAAGAGATTCAAATGTGTTACAACACATAGACTTTTTTTTTCAACGTGTTACAACACATAGACATCGACCACCTTTTTTAGTTAATTATTTAATATATAAGTACTGTATATGGATTAAAATAGGGGGAATTTCAAAAATACCCATTTTCTAATACTACTTTTTAAAAATACCCCTCTTTCTAATTTTATCAAAAAGACACTATAAATTTTGAAATTTATCAAAAACATATGTGAAAACTTATATTTATAGACACAAATTATCTTTATATGTGTATAAATTCATATATATATATTTCATAAATACTGTATAAATACATTTTAAAAACCTTTTAAAAATCATTTAAAAACCTTATAAAAACTGTGTAAACCTTTTAAAAACCTTATAAATACCGTTTATAACCTTTTAAAACCTTATAAATATTTGGATTTAGTCTTCCAGTAGTAATGATGATCTTGATTTATCTTATCAACCATATAAAAGTTTATAATATTTCATATTTGAAAAAGGGTATTTTTGAAAATAGATAGAAAAGAGGGGTATTTTTAAAAAGGGGTACACCAAAATGGGCATTTCTCAAAAATTCTCATTAAAATAAGAGTTGACCTGGAACTAAAATAGAATGGAATGGAAAATATAACTGATAAATATCTTATTGTTGTCATTTTGCTTATGTTTTATTTAGGTTTTTAATAGATATTAAATATAAATGGCCCATTTCAATTCTTTTAAATCTCTCGGCATCAACCACCATAGTTTCTGAAACCTTCAAAAATCTAACAAAAATATATTCTTGTGTATATTATTTGTACAAATATATATGAAACATTTATCTGTGATAATAGCTTAGTTTGAAAAAGCTAATTAATAAAATTTGTGTATATAATAACTATACATGTATAATCGTGGTTACAACGATGAAGAAGACAAGGAGCTTCCTTTTAGTTAATTATCTTAGTCAAGTGCATATTTTAGTTTCGTAAAAGATCACAACAATGCACAATTATGGCGACATTATGAACTTGGGAAAATCTCTGAAAGGTAAGCTTAAACAATGATAACAAAGTTACGAATTTTTAACTATAAATAGATATCAGCAAACATACGAAATGTCTCACCATCATTAAAGTTTAAGAAAAAGCAAAGCAAAACCAAAAGATATGGCAAAGAACATAAACTCAGTTAGCTTCACCGTTCTCTTGATTGTCTTCTTCATGGCAACCACCGGTAATAATTTTGGACGTTCTCTACTATTCGTTTTTACAGTTCTTTTTCACTTATCTTGTAGTAGTAATGATGATATGTTAACATGCAGAAATCATTAAGAGCAATGCTGAACCACGATGCTTCACGTTCTTAGACGAGTGCGGCCCAGACCCATTTCTTGATACGAATCTTGATTGCACTGCATGTTGCAGAAGCACATACCCGGGTCAAAAAGTATGTAAAGGGGTTGTGGAGGGAAGCGAACAACACTGCCATTGCTACCAAAGATCCAAAAAAGAGTGACCGGTGCATGTTTTCGTTGGTTAAATTTGCAATGTGTGTTTACGTTTGATTTTTCAAGTTTCTTTTGTTTCCAAATAAAGCAACAAGGAAAAAGTCTATCACTACTTTTACCCCTTACTGCAAAATTGATGTTGTGTGTGCTCTTGCTTTGTTCAAATTCTCAATACTAATTAAATTTGTTTTGTTCATGTTCCCTCATTTCATTCTCGCCTAACACATGCATGACTACATTTAATCTGGTATAAACTTGGACAGTAAGATCGTTTTAAAAAGAAATAAGTTTCTGAAGTTAAAAAACTCAAAATCTCTTCTCTTCGTTTAGCAAATGAACTTGTATAATGTATATACATATATCCGTTTAGAATGGGTTTACTAGATTGGTAACGCTTGTGCGCTGGTATATTTATAGCATCCCTCGTGGGCCAAGTAGTTCTGTCAATCTGCTATCGACTACTAATGGGCCGAGTAGTTCTACTTAGCTACTCATGGGAGCATCGTTCCATTTTAAAATGTTCTAGTTAATGTTAGCTTATCTGATTAGCAAATTGGTAATATTATATGATTCTTACTTGGCAGTGTAGTTGATTTGATATCACAATTGTATTCCATTGTTTAGATTTTAAATATGGATTGGCAATAATATTATATAGACTTATTTGTATTTCGGTTGTTTAGTGTTGACAATGAGTTCTAAGGATATAATATAACTTGTAGTGTCTATATCTTAATTAATTTTGTTTGTCAAAATAATTTTGTGTGCACTAAGATATATAAACATTGTTTACTATGAAAACGAACTATGTGTAGAGAATGTGTAACATTTTAATAAGGGTCTTTACACTTATATATGCTGGTACATTAGATGGCATACCATATATATTATCGGTTGAACTATTTAAGAACTTTTACTAATAATCCAGAATTTTCTTTCAAATTTTTCAATCCATTTCCAAACAGATTTATATTAAATTAATCACTATTTGAAAGTATATTATTTCACAATGAACTCATAATGGTTACTTCCTACCGAAGAAATTTCTAGGGAGATGGGAACCAAACATGGTGGATGATGTATTGCACATAACCGTTCTAACCATTGTAGCACTTTTCAGCTTTTAGTTGTATCATCATCATCTACTACAACTATAAGTTAGAACGGTTATATATGTTTGTTTATTTTATTGAACTCTAAGAGAAAAGATCTAGCTGATCGATTCTTCATTTACAAATACGTCCAAATCAGATTTTAGAGGTTTTATTTTGAAATTTCTACCTTTGCTTCACCATTTACAGATATCAAAATTAATGACAATCATGGCGCTAATATTAAGAATCGGATGACGATTAACGGATAAATATCATAAATAAGCAACGAAAACGAAGAAATTGTGTAAAGTTTTTGTTTTTTATTGATTAGAGAAGATGACATAGATAGTTTATAATTGGTAACATAATTTTTAAAAGAAAGATAGAATTAAACCAAAAGTATATATTTCTAATCATTTTTAATTATTATAAAAAGTAATATATAGATATATATATATTATAATATTTTGACCTATTTATATTTTACATTACATAGATTATGAGCTTACGCTTTTTATTTTATTTTTAGAATTGAATGTTAAATTATATTCAAAGAAAAAAATAACGTTTTTACAACTCATACATCGTGTAATACAATACGTTTTTTTGTTTTACATCTTTGGATCGACAAACCATAGCTCAATCTCTATTACGTGGAGTAATTGCAACTTAGTGAAATCGAATTCCGATGAAATTAGCTACGTAAATAGATTATTCTTGTTGACAAAAAAAAATTATACTTGACTTAAAATACTTCCCAAATAAATCTCATTTTTATTAAAAACATCAATTTCAGTTATAAACACATCACATTCCGTTAATATTGAAACAAATGAAAATAAAACTGTGGGGACATAACTCTTTATCAAAAGATGATGTCGACAACCGAAATACATACACAAAAGGCCAAAGAGGAAAACAACATTTTGAAATAAGACAACAAATCATTAAGAAATAAAAATATATTTCTTTCAATTTTTTTTAACCCAAGAGGGTAATGAAATCTTCGAGAATACAGATTTTTGGTCCACACTATTCAGTGTCGTCTCTTCACTACTCTTCACTATCTCTTTCGACGTTGGGAACAGTGGTCATCATCATCATCATCATCATTATCCTCATCCTCCCTCATGCACCATTAACCTCTCCCTTCTAGATTCTTGATATATTGTTGTATATTGATCTCTCTTGGATTTTATTATATATGCATATTGCTAACTAATTAATATTTTGTGAAATGTAGTATAGGATTTTTCAATATTTATATGACATATATATAATTCAACATTTCGTATGTTGATTGTTTTTTTTTTTGGTTATTCAATGATCCATAATGAAAGTACAATGGTCCATCATTGTTTGGGGTTGCCAAGATTTTTTTTTGTTTTTGTTTTTGTTTGTATATATATGTATATGTATAATTTTGATATCTACCCAAGTTCATTGTTGAAATATTTCTTTTAATGATTTAAGCTCTTGTGACTTGAGCCTTGAAGTATATATAGCCAAATCAATTTACCAATCAACCACTAATCTCCTGATTATGTCGATTTAGAGAAAATATATAAAGAAAACAAATAACTCAAGCCACTGTCGAAAAGACAACTCTTTTTTTTTCTTTGGTTCACACAACAATACAAATACCATATATATAATAATATGATCACACAATTACAAGGAAATTATCAAATGGAAACATTACAAAGTATTGAAAAGAAAAAACAAAACCCTTTCTTTAAATTTTAATCACAAATCATAGAGAGGACCGGACGCTCAACTGCTTCAATTTAGTTTCCAGTGTGGACCCGTCACAAGACCTCTCTCCCATTATTAACTTTAATGTATGTTTTTGATAATGCAAAATAAAAATTATTAAAACCTTTTGTTGCTTTTGTTTGTTTATGTGTGTGTTTTTTAACACTCTGGTGTTTGAGTATGGTCTCTTTTCGGGTCATGGCAATAGTTATAGACCAAGAAGTTCCTTTGTGCCCATGCCATGGCCGCCATTTGCTGCCGGCTCAACCCTTGGTTGCGGGCTGGCGCAGACGATGGCGGTCTGCATGAGCTTACACTATTAGCTGTGCATCCGGCTAGCTTAAAGTTTTTGTACTTAGCCACAAATGGTTGGTATCTATAGTCAGCTTTGATCCTTCCATTTTCCGTGGCCCAGTCGGATGCATCCCATATCGACCCGTAAACCCACATCGGTCTTGTTGGGAACGTAGCTTCATTCTTTCTGTTATACGTACGTATTGGTACATCATCTACGAAGAATCTGTATATATTAAAACAAAATAAACCAGATTTAGAATAAGATAAAAAAATGCAAATGGATATAATTACTATAAGAATTTATAAACTTACATAATTTGGTTAGAATTCCACAAAATTGCGTAATGGTGAAAATCTTGAGTAGGGTCGAACCATAAGGTAAATTTCATTTCTCTCCCAATTACATTTCGGTCGCCACTTCCTCTAACGAATACGTTCGTTTGAAGCGAATAAGGTTTCCCCGGCGTCGTCCCTAGAAACTCGATATCGACCTCGTCGTGGTCTCCAGGATGCTCTTGGTTGTTTGATAGCTAGAAATCGAAAAAGTTATATATCAATAAATCTTTAATTTTAGTAACGCTTAAACAACATAGTTATTAGATGGTTTAGTTAATTATAGTTCGATCATATATGCTTACGTAGAGGGATGTATCAACTCCAGCCGTGAAGCCTGGTTGAAGCTTAATGGAAGCACCAAAGTAGCCCGACCGGTATGGACGAAGAGACTTGAATCCACTACCTGTTCATATTTAATTTAAGTCACTAAAATCAATTTATAACATACGACAAAATATAAGCATAATGAGTATAATTAAAAGAACATAAAGAGGAATAAAGATAAAAATAATAAATATAAGCTACCGACAAAGTCCTTACAAGTCGTGTGGTATATTAAATAACATTAGAAAACATGAGTGAGTGAGGTTTGACAATGAAACAAACAAATCTTCACTTACCTAATATGATTCTAAAAATCTACAAATTACATTCATTAATTTTCTTTTTTATGTATTGTTCCAAATGAATAGAAAATAACCTTTTAGTACATTATATAACATGGACCAACGAATAAGAAGAAAAAAGCTAAAGGAAAAAGAAAATTACCAGTGGATTTGTCGAGCCAAAGAGTAACAACATCTTGCTCTCTACGTTGGTGTTGAGAGCCCCATAGAGTTCGGAATTCGCGATCAAAAGGAGAGGTCGGTACTCGGGAACTCGGGTAGTATCCAGGCGAAGGAGAACGCTGGCCGTAACCGCTAATAGGACACAATACTAAGAGAGCTAGAAGGATAAGAGACAAAGCCATTTTTGAGACTGAAGTAAATGCCCTTTTGAGTGGTTATTACTACTACAAAAGGGAATATTAAAGAGAGGCAAGTAAAGGAGAGACAAATATGTATGGAATGAATGAAGAAAAGTGAGAGGACACAGGTGAGTATAAATAGAGAGATGTGTGGGTCAAACAGTTATAGGAGTGAGTGACTGTTATCCGTCGATTGGATGGGCCTTATGGATTGATCCCATTCCCATGTCATATATGAACATTTAATGTCAACTTACATCATATTTATGATTCTTTAATAATAAAGAAAACAAAGTATGAAAAAAGAAAAGAAAAACATCAAGAATAGGAAATTGAGTAATAAATTATATATTCCTATAAAGAGACTGATATTTATTATTTAACAATTATTCTTCCATATTGAAAGTATAATATATAATTTGAAGAAGAAAAAAATGTATAGCATGGTAGACAAAAATAATGATTTTTTTCTTTTTAATAACTAAGAGATTCTGGGTCGAAACTCATACATCTCTTTAGGATGTATGGTCTCGTTTCAAGCGTTATTCGAACCGGCGACCTCTAAATTTTTACCAATATTTTTTTATTAATTGAACTATTAGCACTTGATAAAAAATAAGTATATTAAACTTTACTTTTGACTACAAAACGAACATAACAGTGTATTTTGCAAAATTATGGATCTAGATTTCAAAACTAAAGTGTATGTAAAATGTTTTAATCATAGCAAAGCTCACAAGAACAAGAGAGCCTAGCTCCACCGTCGTAAACAATGTATTTTCAAACGTTCTAATAAATACTATCGTAGAATATATAGTTAGGTTGCTACCTATTCAATACCGTATTGACTAATTTTTCAAATAATTTAGCTCAAAAAATCATTACTAAATATAGTCAAGTGATTGTAATTTTTTTTGGTTAAGCGCAAAGTGATAACTGATAGCTAGTAATTTAATATCTGCAGATCAGACATATATACAAGAATAGAATTCGTGCTATACATGAATAAGTTCATGTGTGAGTTTATTTCTGGTGTGATCGTAATAGTAAACATAATATGAAAAGGTTTAAAATTCTCTGAAAACATATAAAATATTATGCACTTATATATAGAGATTATTTTGGCTTTAATTACTGTAGTGAAATAATGAAAAATCAATATAAATTAAAATTCTATCGTATGAAATAAACTGTCGGCTCAATCCCTATAATAGTTAAAAATGATGAAAAAATTGAAAAGAAAAAGAATGATAACGTATCCATATAAATAGAAAACATGAACAAATGACCCATTTCATATAAGACAATGACACTTTTTTTTTGCGGCCAATAAAAAAATGACATTATCTTTGTTATTATACATTTATACATTTGAACCCATTTCATTTCGGTTTCTCTTTTTTATTTTTCTATTTAATTAGGATAAAGTCGAAGATGTAACATGTTTGGTCAATTTCATATAGGGAGTCACATGCACGGATAAGAAAACTAGATCAATCCAATGTAGCTTCACAGTTTCTTTTTCTAGGAATTAAAAAAGTTTATCAATTATTTTCCAACTCGAAATAGTCTCTAAGAATGTGGAAGTCAATTAATATACAGAATTTTAGAAAACGGATATTAAATATTTATTAACATATTTCAACAATTAGGAAAAGTCATATTAACTTTGTATATTTTTCTAAAGTAGTATGAAAAAATAGAAAATATAAACATAAATGGATTAGGTTAGAGTATTGATTTGTGGAAATTTCGTTGATCTCTAGTCGTCGATCAAAGACCGAAGTGAATTAATGCGTTTATATTATGTATGAATTTGATTCAAAAAGATCGGCTTGCATATAGTCGTTGTGAAGAAACTGCATGAATTAAATATGCTAGTCATGTCATGAATGTTTGATTGATTATTTGTAAGATGATAGACAATAAAAACAAGAAGTCAA